GGCTGTTCCCGGGGGAGGGGTGAGAGGTGTTTCTATAGGAGGCTCGCAGGAAAAGTGGGTAAACTGATAATGACCCAAGGACATTATTGGCTTTGGCAGAGTCCATAATAATGAGAAGTTTTCATCTTCCAAGTTCTCTGCAGGAGAGAACCGGTTAAGTACAAAGAGCCCAACCACGGAGACCTGCTTCCATGTCCCGCTTTGAATGAACCTTTCTGACCCTCTTTTTTGCACTTGGGGAAATTTTCCAAGCAGATCAGGGGGCTGCCTTTCAAAGGAGCGCTGAGCCCCCCGCGAGCCTGCAGGGCTGCATTTGCCGCTGGCCAATAGGCGCTGAACTTGGTGCGGGAAGAGTTTGGCTCTAATGCTTTCCAGATCTCTGAAGTGGACTTCGTCTGGGTGGGCTCTTTGCGAGAGCTCAGCTATTCCTCGCCCCCCTCCCCCCCATGCTGGGCGCTCCACCTTGGTTTTCCAGCGAGCACTGTGGTCGCCTTTGCAGCACAGCGTGGTTCCTGCCTAGAGGTAGCTCTGGCAGGGTTCTCTGTCTAGGCGTTTATACTGTGCTCCTCCTCAGGCTTGGTGGCACATAAACCCAGCAGGTTGCTAGGTGTGCCAGGCAGCTGCAAAGAGCCGTAGGCTGCAGCCAATGCCTGATGCCAATGCTCAGCCAGTGGCATGCGCAAGCTGGAGTCCCAGGGCGGGAGAGATCCTTCTGATCACTGCAAGCGCTCAGGGGGCTGTATGTGTGGGGTTGGTGCAGGGTATGGAGCCCTGTGGTTTTACTGAGTGCTCTAACCTGGCCAGGAGTGAGCGTCCCAGCCTTGGCCTTCGTTTAAGTCCCACTTGCTGACATCCTGCCCGTCAATGTTAACACTGAAACCTGTCTAGTGGCAGCGGAGTATTTTTGAATCTCTGGGCCCTGGGGCAACTGTCGCCTTTGCCCTCCGTTGGCAGGCTGGACCATGTCACACCTTGCTTTGCATCAGTCCATTGGGGCTCCCTTCTCTATACTGTGACAGAGTCAGGATAGAGGGGTACAGGAGAGTGGTAGAAGGGAAGTATATTAGCCCTAGATTAAACCTCTGTTCCCAGGGGAAACTAACGAGGGCTAGTCCAGAACCAGCAGGAACTTGCCAGAATCAGTCAGGGCAATTAAGCCCTTGGAGTCAATTAGGTTTCCAGAGTCAAGCGAGGGAGACTAGTCAGAACACCTGGGGCCAACTAGCACCCAGTTGAGACTGGTTAAAAAAGCTCCTCTTCCGTTAGGTCTATGTGTGTGAAGACAGAAGAAGCTGTGGACAGTCTGAGGCTACATCTACACTGCGGGTGTTTTGCGGAAGAAGAAATGCAAATAGAGTGCTCATTTGCATATCTCACTCTCACTTGCATATCTTCTTCTGGTCCTTTTTACGGAAAATATGAGGTTTACATGCTCTTGCGCAAAAGGGGTTTTCCCGACAAATGGCCCCGACTATACAGGGCTTTTTATCTCAAAAACCTCTTCCTCAAAAAGGATCAGAAGCAGATATGCAAATAAGAGCATGAGCTATGTAAATGAGCGCCCCATTTGCATTTCCTCTTTCATAGAACACCCGCAGCGTAGACGTTGCCTGAGAGGAGAAAGTGAAAGCAATACCAGGAGGAAGAATCCGTGGTAAGGAAGGTGCCAGGAAAGACTGTGGGGAAGTGGCCGAGGGATTTGTAGCTATCACACAGCTGTTACCAGAGACATTAGACGGCTGCTATTAGAGTTGCTGTGCTGGAACCCATAGTAGAGGGTGGGTCCAGGTTCCCCCCTCCAAGTTCCAAGTTCAGGCCAAGAAAGAGACTGGCTTTGGCACAAGGGTTTGTCCTACCCTGTACCACTGGAAGGGACCACAGAGACTCTAAAGTTTGGTTTCCTCTCTTTTCCCCATACTGGCCAATGATGAGAGTAGCTCAACAAAGCGCAAGCTGGTGTCTCAACTGAGGGCTGCTATGAGCCTCTGAGGCAAGTCATCCACCTGAAAACGCAGGGCCCACCAAGGTTGAGGAGGTTTGTCACAATACAGCTAACCTAAGCTCTCCTGATCTTCACTTGCAAAGTCCTTTCACTATCTCCAGCCAACTGATCAGCTCTTGTTCGCTACCAAGATGTTGGTTTCCACCTCTCATCAGCTCGTGCGCCCAGCCTCCATCACTCCCTTGTTCCACTTTCCAAAAGTCACCTTTGTGCTGCCCCTTGTGTTTGGACGGAGCTCCCGCAAATATCTGTAATGCTTCATCATTCTCCTCCCTCAGTACTCTCCTCAAAGCTCTTCTCTTCAGTGAGGCCTACACAAATCTTGGCCCGGGCTAGGCCTACCACGCTGCTCGATACCACCTCACTGTTCCCCTGTGCTCCTCCACCTGGATGTCTGCATCCATCTGTTGTCTTGTCTTATCCTTAAATTGGCAGCTGTTTGGGGTAGGGTCCATCTTTTATTCTGTGGTCATGCAGCTGGTGCCATGTTGTGGTTCTGGTCTCTGTGTAGGGTAATTTATTTGAATTACCATTGCTCCTAGATGTATTCAGACCAATAAAACCCCATTGGTGGGAATCTAGGAAGCTGGAGGGTTCCACCGCCTACTGAAACCATCTTAGCACCATCTTCCTTCTCAATCGTCCTGCCCGAAAAAGTTAGAAAGAGGGTGATGGCTTGTGAGGTCATCCTTCTTAAGAAGTTGCTAGAGCAAGGCTCTACAGATAGTTTGCCTGACTGATTCTAGCACCCTGATCTGTCTTAGGAAATTGGGGACAAACTGACAACTAACCTCCTCTTGCCTTTGGATCTCACTAGTGAGAAGGAAGGCTCCCCTAGAATTGCTAAGAGAAGAAGTATTTGCAACTCAGCAGCCCATGTAATACTCATTCCTTCCAGACCTGGGTCTGCCCCATGGAAACAGCCATGCCAGTTTGACCCAACCTGACGCTACCTTCCCACTCTTCCTCTCTCTTCCCCCCAAAGACAGACAAACCTCCTTTCTGAGAAATATATTCAGTTTTTTTCCCAGCAATGGCAGCCCGGGTTCCACCACCCAGAACAAACCTGCCGTTAGCCCCTTCTCAAATCTGGCCACCATAATGTGGGCCTTTCAAGAATAAGGATACCTTCTAGGATAATAGATATGACTCGAATATTGGTGTAGAGGGGTACAGCTAGCTCAGGAAAGACAGGCAAGAGAAAAAAAACAGGAGGTGTTGCTTTATATATTAAAATATATACAGTTGGACTGAGGTTGAAATGGAAATGGAGGCAGACTTATTGAAAGTCTTTGGGTAAGTATAAAAGGGGTAAAAACAAGGGTGATGTCTTGGTAGGGATCTGCTATAGAACCCCAAACCAAGAAGAAGTGGTGAATGAGGCTTAAAAAAAAAAAAAGCTAACAAAATCAT